CAGCTTTGCCATTGCGGTGGGAAAACAGCCCTAGATGGTACATACATGAATGGATGTGGTTTTGTTCCAAAATAAAAAAATGTATTTACAAACACAGGTGGCTGGCCAGATTTGACCCAAGGGCCATGGTTGGCTGATCTCTGCTGCAGAAGATTAAGAGCCCAGGCAGGGGGACCAGCCAGGAGGTCACTGGATTAAACCAGAGGAGACATGATGGCAGCTTGGACCAGAGTGGTGGAATTAGAAATGCAGAGAAGCAGATGGATATGGGATGTGCTGTGGAAGTTGAATTGACATGAACTGCTCTGCCCATGGGACCCTTCTGTTCTTCATAGATGACTCTGGAGAAAAGTCAGGAAAGTACAGAAAGTTTTAACATTACAGTCATCGGAGGGGGCTAATTGGGTGCTTGTAATGTGGTTACTCCACCCCTGAAGACCCAGTAATTTGTCTGAGTCAAGCTAAGGGGTGACAAGGCTAGGAATTTGACTTCAGTCACAAGCTATGATGCTCTACCTCACCTCCCAGCTCTGGGGAGGACTCTCACCCTGTCCGACCTATAGCTGATGCTTGGGGTTCTCTCCAGGCTGTCTGCCAGCAGGGGTGCAGCCTCTGCATGATTTGGGGGCCCCACAGCCCTAAACCCTACTACTTCCTGGTAATGTAATCTTGGGCAGGTCACCCTTAGCTCTGGGCCTCAATTTTCTTAACTGTAAACCAGGGTCAGCCAAGAGTCCCACCTCTGGTGTTGTCGGGAGGACTGGGTAAGCATCCAGCCCTAGGACTCACTCACAAGATGGCAGGTGGCACTTGATACTAAAAAGTCTTCTGTTGATGTTCCCTTCAAAGATGTCACTCCTGAGCCTGCAGCACCATCTTGCTATCTTATACTTTTAAAGGGCCTTTCTGTGACTTTTGAACATCTCTGTTCTGTCTGATCCATTGGCTGTCCTTTCTTACTGTTAACTAGTTCAGCCTTATTTCCAAGTCTTGGTTGGGGGTGGAGGAGTCTTCCTCCTTCCCAAGGGTTTGAGCAGTCCCAGAGCAGAGCCTGGTCTTTTGTTCAACACGGCATGCCCGGCCTTCAGCACACTGCCAGGCCACACAGGGGCTGAATGTAAGATCCTCCATTCGCTGTGAACTCCCCAAGGGAAGCCCTCACGAGCTCAGTGACCATTGTATTTTCTCCCTTCCCAGCGCCTAGTCCAGTGCCTGGCACACAGTAGGGGCTCAGTAAATGTCAGTGGAAGTGTTTGAACCACATTCACATTAACACTTAGGAGAAGCTTGTTTGCTTGAAGCTTGGGATCTTTGCTTTTTCTTTTCTGTACCCCACGGCATTCGGGCATGGTGTGGGCTAGGGCTCCAGGGCTCCCTGAGGTGGCAGGCCAGCGATGGCTCCTGGCCCCTGCTCTAGCCAGTGTTGTCAAGGTGCAGGGGGATGCTGCATCAGCACCACCTGGGAGCCTGAGACAAATGCAGACTCTCGGACCCTGCCCCAGACCTCCTGAGCCGGAATTTCTGGGGGGGCGGGCCCAGGAAGCTTCCTGGTAATTCTCATGTATAGGCAAGTTGGAGCATTGCCTTCATTTCTCAGCCTGGGGGAAGTCACGGAGCCCTGTCAGAGAGAGAACCCTGCGTGTGATGCTTCATTGGTCTGGCCCAGGCCAGCATTTATCAAGTAATAGTCTCCCTTTTGGTGAGTGGCTTTGACAAAAGGAGCCATTGCTTAAGTTGGTCGGGGACCAGGCACTTCATCTGCTGTATGTGTCTGATCCAGGAGCTTGCACATTCTTCAAGTGCCTTCCTCCAGCGCCAAGTCCATCCATTGCCTTGGACACAGTGAAATGACTTCTCCTTAATAGGCTGCTTGAATTCCATCTGGGGCTGGGGACGTGGGACTCTTCAAAGGCTGGTCTTCTGCTGGAGGAGTGGTGAGCTCCCTGTCGTTGGAGTTGTGCAAGTAGAGGCTGGATGATCACTGAGCAGGGATGCTATCAGGAAGAGCCTAGCATTCAATGTGGGGTCAGACTGGATGATTCAGAAATTCCCTCTCTGTATTAATATATAGCTCTGGCCCTCTCTTTTTAGCACAAGCTACTCCTTTATCTTCCCCAATGCTTGTTCATCACCACCATCTATGCCCAGCCTCAGGCTGAAAAGGAATAAGGATGAACAATACCCGCCATGGTAGAATGTAAAGGCCATGGATTTGGGGTCATACCCTACTGTGTTGAAGTATCCCAGGTGTCCTCTCAATAGCTGTGTGACTCTACGCACATCCCTCTGGCTTCTCTGTGCGCTGGAACAGGCGAGTACTGGCTCCCAAGAGTCAACTGGTAAGTTTTCAGGAATTTTGTAAACATTTTCAGGAATGTTGCAAGCCAATGGACATCATGTTGGTAGCTTGAAATTGGCCATCCTGGGAGTATTTATACCATAGGAATCAGCAAACGTTACAAATCAGGACTCTTCCTCCTCCCCAATCTGGAGAATCAGTTTTTTTTTTTTTTTTTTAAGATTTTACTCATTTATTTCAAACAGAGAGTGAGAAAGAGAGCATGAGTGTTTGGTGGGGTCGGGCAGAGGTAGAAGCAGACTCTCTGCTGAGCAGGGAGCCCAATGAGGGGCTCGATCCCAGGACCCCGGGATCATGACCTGAGCCGAAGGCAGACGCCCAACTGACTGAGCCACCCAGGTGCCCCTGGAGAACCCGTTGTTAAACATTGACCACCACGCTCCTGCTCGAGCCTTGCTACACCAATAAGGGTTGGTCAACTTCCAGGGGCTGGTATATCTGCTTCTCGTCTGAGGGCTTTCTGCCAAGCTCTGGAATGCAACTCTGTCCTTGCAGACGGCGGGCTGGCAGGATCTGGGAATTACTGTTCCTGAGAGCATCCCCCAGCCCATGACTGACAGGTGGGTAAATACCTGGCTCCCTTGCCTCATGGCTGGAAGGACTCTGAGACATGTGTTTCTTGCTGACATACCGTGTTTCCCAACACCATGAAGCGGCAGGGCCCACAACCAGAGATGTCTTGAGAATAGGCTTTAGTTGGCTGCCTCTCTTCCCTAGGTCTCGTCTCTACTTCTCTACAGGTATCTTCTGCACCTCCCTAATCAACTACTTGTACTTGAATCCTTGCTTCATGTCTGCTTCTGGGGGAGACCCAACTAAGGCTGCATATGACTTAACCTCTCTGAGCTTCCGTTTCCTAATTTAGACACGGGGCATTAATAATTGACTCACAGGCAGGGGTGAAGGTTAACTCAGCACAGGGGAAGTGTGAAGCTGACCCTAAAAATTGGCCTACTTTGAAGTGCCTAGAACAGTGCCTGGGGTGTGCGCAGGAAACATGATTGACAGTGAGCATTCAGCAAGGGTTCCATTAGCATCCCCTATGGCTCATCCGACTGATTGCATCTCCTTTGGTTACAGGTGACCAAACCTACCCAAAGCATCCTGAAACAAAGCTAGATCAAAGTGGTTATGGAATTGAAGGAGTTGCTGCATGCACCAGAGACGAGGGACTCAGTGCCACCATGATGCTTTGTATATCTGTCCATCTGTCCTCTGTTGGTGTTAACATTTCTTGGTAACTTGGGTTTATTCTTTACTACCACAGAAGGGCTCCTCTCTTGAATGAGAATGAGTGAGAAAAACCTTTGTGGCACCAAGCTGCTGATATTTGGGGATTTATCTGACACTGCAACATAGTCATTCTCTCCCGACTACTCTAGAACTTCCTGTACATTATCTATAATTCTTTTAACTGCCTTTCAAGGCAGACATCCCTAGCTCCACTTTTACCAGGTGGGAAAACTGAGGTCCAGAGAGGTTGGAGAGCTCGCCCAAGATCACCCAAGCTGGTAAGTGGCAATGCCATGATCCAAACCCACTTCTGACCAATTGTAGAGCCTGCTTTCTTGCTCCACAAGCCCTGGGGGTCTTAAGATGTAAATCAGGATTAAGGGGGTGGGGTTGGAAGAAGGCAGCAGAACTGACAAACAGGATGATGTGGAAGACAGTGTCAATTAGCCCACCTCCTGCTAAAACTGCAGCGTGGAACGTAACAGATCACACGAGGAGTCCTGTGTTCATCCGGGGTGTTTTCAGATGAGCGGTTCTGGAGCATTTGCTAAACCCTCTGGATGTGTCTTCAGAGACCCCCTTCATATTTCATGCAGGCAGGCAGAGCAGGATGATAATGCATGCTAATGCCCCTTCCTGGGAGTCTGGGAGTTCTGTTCTCTTTAGTTCCTCATTAAAGCTGCATGTGCACTTCTGAAGGAATAATGGCCAGCATCTGGACCAGATGTCAGCAGGGCCATAGCTGGGCGGGCCTCAATTCTTGGCTAACTGGCTTTTTCCCAGTGAGGCTTCCTTGCAAGTTTCCCTTGCTCTCAGGATGAAATAAATGCTAGTGTCTCCAGCATATCTCCCTTCTCATGAGAATGGCTTTTACCCCCTTTCTCATCCCTGCCATTTTGACCCCCTCGTGGGTTCCTGCTCCCATCTGCTGGTGACTGATCTGACACCAAAGCCCTGAGATTATAGTATTCTGGCCCCCTGGTCACAGATGACTGGCCCAGAGGTTGGTGCATGACCCAACCTGGGTCAGTCAGAGCCCTTCTTGGGATTTCGAACTTGGACATGGAGAGTCAGTCAGTCCTTCTCTGTGGTGGAGGCTGTGAGTCATGAGGCTGTGAGTTGTAGGGAGCCTCAATGCCTGCCAACAGGACAAAAGCTCATCTCTGTGAGAAGTAAAAAATTGACAGAAGCAGAGCTGAGGAGTACATACTGTCGAAATTCAAGTGCTCGGTTTCAGTTACATTTGGACACTTCTGCTCTTCCAGTTACTTTCCTTTTCATTATAGTCTAATGGTGATGGGTGTAGCCTCTGGAGCCAGACCATCCAGGTTCAAATCCTGGCTCACAGACTAGGTGTGTGACAGTGCTTTTTGTTGTCCGTAAAATGGGAATCAATGAGAATACCTACCTTGTAGGGTGGTTGTGAGGAAGAAAAGAGATTCAAGCAAAGTGCTTGGAAGAGCACCTGGGAGGTATTAAATGCTTCATAAATGTCTCTTTTCCTTCTTTCTCCTCTTCCTCCTAATAATAATAGTAATAACAATAATAACAATAGTGTTATTATATCTACTACTACTAATTCTATATAATGTTATTTTACCCAGCTTTATCAAGATATAATTGACCTATAACATTATATGTTTAGGGTATACAATGTGTTGACGTGATAGGCTTTATATCGCACAAAATCATTAGCACCATATCATTAGCTAACACCTCCATCCTATTCCATAATTACCAATTCTTTTTTATGGTGAGAACATGTAAGATCTACTCTCTTAGCAACTTTCAAGCATAGAATACAATATATATATATTTTTAAAGATTATTTATTTTAGAGAAGGGGGTGAGGGGCAGAGCAAGAGGGAGAGAGAGAATCCTCAAACAGACTTCCCACCCAACATGGAGCCCAACCCGGGGCTCGATCCCAAAACCCCGAGATCATGACCTGAGCTGAAATCAAGATGGATGCTAACTGAATGAACCACCCAGGCACCCCTATGGTATTATTAACTATAATCACCATGCTGTATATTAGATTCCCAGAACATACTGTCTTATAACTGGAAGCTTGTACCCTTTGCCCAGCACCTCTCCATTTCCTCCAACCCCACAGCACCTGGTAACCACGATAATATTATTATATGTAATAGTATGTTATTACATTTAATAATAATTATAATCTAATAAATGCTATTATTATTATATCTAATAAATAACAGTGTTATATCTACTGGTAATAGTAATAATTAAAGATTTTTGGGGTGCCTGGATGGCTCAGTTGGTAAGTGCTTGACTCTTTTTTTTTTACGATTTTATTTATTTATTTGACAGAGAGAGACCCAGCGAGAGAGGGGACACAAGCAGGGGGAGTGGGAGAGGGAGAAGCAGGCTTCCCGCGGAGCAGGGAGCCCAGCACGGGGCTCGATCCCAGGACCCTGAGATTATGACCTGAGCCGAAGGCAGACCCCTAACGACTAAGCCACCCAGGCGCCCCAAGCACTTGACTCTTGATCTCAGCTCAGATCTGGGTATCAGGGTTGTGAGTTCAAGTCCCATGCTGGACTCCACAGTGGGTGTGCAGCCTACTTAAAAAAAAAAAAAAAATTCTTCAGAATCCTATGAGTAAATTGGACTTCTATCACTTGCAACAAAAAGCATTGAGAGACTCTTCAAAGATGAAAGAGTCCTTCAAAAGAAGTTGGTGGGGCTGATACTGGAACCACTATAATATTATTATGTCTAATAATAGAAATAACATCTACTAATAATCTAATAATATACTACTATTAATACTTTTATTATGTCAAATAATAAAGTTTTATCTAATAATAACAGTAACCATTAAAGTAGTAAAAAGTAATAATTACAGATTCTTCAGTATCCTACCGATGAGTCGACCTTCTACCACTTGCAACAAAAAAAACATCGAGAGACTCTTGAGAGATGAGAGTCCTTGAGGAGAAGTCGGCGGGGCTGAGAGTGGAACCAACTTGATCATTCATTGGCTGCAGGGCCTGACAGTCAAATACGCTCCACCAATGGCACGAGGGCTAACAGCTTCCTTCGGACCGGAAATGAGCCCCGGACAGTAGGGCCTTGGAAACAGGAAGAGGCGGGGCTTCTGCTGGAGCTCTGGGCGGGAGCTGAGGTGGTTTCCTGGGGGCTTGAGAAGGTGTAGCTGGGGCTCAGGTTTAAGCTCTGTGGGCTCAAAAACCTGGCAGTTCCCGCAGTGAAATTCGAAAGTGGCCCCTGAAGGCAAGGAAAGGCCGAAGGAAGAGGCAGGTAGGTGGCGGTTTTAAAGGGCGAGGGAACTTACTGAGGAGGCTTGGCCTGGGCGGCTCCAAGACAGCCAGCACCTGCAGAGTTTCTCTAGAGGCCTCGGTGGGGTTCAGTGACGTCTGCGCTCCACGTGGTATCAACACCACGATATCCTTTCAAGGCTGCATCCTCAAAAAGATCAGGACGGGAGGGGTGAGCAGCCTGCCATTCCCCTCTCGCCTTCTCAGTGACGTCGAGTAACAAGCTGGAATGAGAGGATAAGAAGCAAGCCGCCCGCAGGGCTGAGCTGGTCAAATGAAGAGAAGAGGGTGGCGCGCGCTGAAGATTGCACTCCTGGAGTCTTTGCTCCATATCTCTCTACTCCCGTTTGCTTTTTGTTTTCCCTCCGTGGCTAGAGGCATCTACTCCGGGGTCAACACCTGGGGTCACCAGGAGCCACCACATGGCACCACCGGGGAGGAGAGAGGAGTAAAAAGATGAGAAGCCAATTGCACAGTGTTGTTCAGGATCTTGAATCCTGCTGTACCTGAATCTAGCTCTACCCCTGGATTCTTGAAGATACATGAAACAATGAAATTCACCGTTCACTTAACTGGTTCCAGTTGCATTTCTGTTACTTTGCGATGGAGAGAGACCTGGCCTCTACCACATCCAAAATGAGCAGGCAAGATTTAAGCCAGCTCTATTTAAGCTTTTGAGATAATCAATTCGAAGCTTAAAAGGAACAGAAAATCCCAGGGCTGCAGATTCTGAGCACACTTCCTGGACAATCACTCTGAACCAAGGAAGAGTGTGGACTGCCAAGCTGCCATCAGCAACCTGAATCCAGAGAGAGGCAGGACTGGGCCAAGTGGGGAAGGAGGGACATGTACTGAAGGCTGACAGGAATGGCAGCGGCATAAATCAAGGCTCAAGGACTGGTACCTGTGTTTCCTTGGGGGAGGAAGCACAGCGCCTGATGGATGAGAAGGGCTCAGCTCAGCTTGAGTCTGAGGGACCCTGATTGTTCAGCAGTGCTTCGTTTTATGTGGTGAGGTTCTTGTTGAAAAGGTGGTGGAAAAGAGAAGTTAAAAAAACTAGGTTTTATTTTCCCGTTGGTGTCTGTACATGCAACAGTTTCATTTGTTGAGCCCCTACAGTGTGCTAGACACTCTGTTTTGCTTGTTTCATATGGGGTATTTACTCCTTCCAACCAGGGCTGCCCTATACAACTGTCCATGTTGAGTACTGCACAACTCCAGGGGGAACCATTTGCAGCATAGTCTCTGACTGGCACCCCTTGGAATTGTGCAGCATACAACCTTTGCTGCAATATGGGCTAGTCCTGTTTCCAACAAACTGTTAAGTTAGGCGATGTTATATCCCTTACTTTTTTTAATAGATGAGGGAATAGACACAGGGAGGGTAGGCGATTTGTTCAAGATAACATAGCTAGTGGGTGGGAGAATTCTAACTCAAAGCCCAGTCAAGTTAACTCACTTTCCATTTTATCCTTTAGCTGTTTGTCAGTTAAAATACTGTCTAGGATAAGTTCAGTTGCATCTATATCTCAGACTTGGAATGTGGACAGATGATCTCATATTACTCTTCTTGACTCCCCCAACTCTTAGCACAGTACCCATATCCAGTGGGCATTTGGTAGGTTCTTGTTGAATAGAATTGGCAGTGGACAGAGTGACAGCGGTCCATGAAGAAAACTTTATCCAGGAGGCTGGACAGGGGGAAAAGGATTTGGAGAGAAATGGGTGTTTTCTGGCTCCTGGTAGAAATAAATCCAGCAATATGCTTTGAACTTGTTGATGAAAAGGCTGATTTCTGCAGACATCACCAAACCTTGAGAATTTCTTGGGAGCCAACCAGCATCTTGGTGGAGCACACAGCCAGGACTGTCTGGCTACTTGGTGGAGACTTGTTTATTACCCTGGTGTATCCTTCACTGTCCCTAAAACATAGTAGGAACCCAACAGTGTGTGTGGAATGGGATTCAAAAAGAATTGTGTATTTGTGGGGAAATGTTTCTTGGAGATGCTTAGCTGGGGGAAGATAGTGTCTGAGGGCTGCAATTTAACCTGAAGGTAGAAAAACCCGTTTGTAAGACACTAGAGAGATTTGCTCTTTCTTTCTGGAGTTGGCCTTCCTATGTTTGACCTGTACACTGTTTTAAGTAAATTTGAATTAAAAACAAACATTTACATGTCAGAAGAGTTTACATTAAAAATCCAGATTTTGAATTCCTCTTAAAAATTAGACTGAAAAAAAAAAAATCAGACTGTGGGCCTGCATTCCTATAGGGCAATAATCAGCTGGAGGTGAGAGGCGGCTGCCCCCTTTAGACAGAGCATGGGCTCTTCAGTTCACTACTCCTTATTGTGTTATGCCCGGACGGCTTCCCTCATTTCTGCTAGTGCCTAGTCCTTATGGACTTTTGAGTTTGGGAATCTTATTTCAGAGCCTAGACTGGAAGATCAGCCATTCTTGGTTTTTACTATAGCTTGGTTTTTTATTACCTAAAGAGGGAATCACAGAGATTGAATAATTTCTCATTCCTTTTTGGAGAGGAGGAAACTGAGTCCAAGTAGAGGTTAAATCACTTATATGAGGTCAAATGGCAGGACAATGCTGGTCCTAGAGAGTCAAGTGTCTTTTTCCTTGTAGACCATGAGAACAGCCTCTACTGCTTTTTTTGACTTGGCCTCCAGGGAACTCAGATCTGCATTTTTAGATCTAGTAACTGACCTTCTGACCTATAAATCTTTTTTCTACCTTCCATCCTGTTCTTTTCCTGCCTTTACCTCTTATTCTAAATTATTTTTCTCCAAGTCCTGATTTAAGATTTATATTTAATAATTTTGTCATACATACTCCTGGAGTCTACTGTGAGTTCTATGTGGGTAGTGAATGAATAAATAAAATGTAATGAATTTTAAAATTCCAAGAAGAGCCTGAGTCACACCAAACTTCATGCTGGATGATAGTCATAGACTCAGGCTGGGGCTCTCTCCTAACCAATTGCCAGTTTTTTCTTTCTTTCTATCTTTTTTTTCTCTAGCATTTTGCCAACAATCCATTTGGCCTTCCTGGCATCAACATGGCCAGGCTGATAGCTTCAGCCTTGAATGGCTCTGAGGGGTTGGTCTGGTGTCAGGAGGGGGTTGGCAGACTCCATCCCCAGGCTGTGGGGGTGGAGGTAGAATGGGGGCAGCTTTACTACCTGCCTGGCATCTGGGTCTTGGTTGGAGAAGGAATTCTAAGCTCTTCCGACTTCAGTTCTTTCTCCTGCAGTTGCACTGATGTGGCCATTCCTGCAGAGATCTAGAGAGAAAATTTACAGCCAGGAGTTTCTGGCTTGTTTGATTTTGAGCTTGTTCCCTCATATCCCCTTCTCCATCTCATTCGCAACTCCCTCTTCCCCCCCCCTCCCCGCCAGTCTGTGGACACTTTTTAAAGAAACAGTGGCAAGGCAAAATCAAATCCAAAAATTCACAGCAGAGGGGCCATTCTAATTTATTTTGGCCGTTTGAAGGGAGGGAAGTGAGCTCACCGTTTTTGAGCTCTTCCTCTGTACCAGCCACCATGCTATGGGCTTAGCTTGAGTGCCTGCTGGTCTTTCATTTCAGAGTAAGTTAGAGATGGCTTAGCCGACGCTGCATGCCATGGTCCTGGCTGACTTCCATATCTGCATCTCCCTTGCTGCTTCCAGCTGGAGTGGCCTCATCTCACCCACCCGCACACGCCCAGTCCTCCCCAGCCTGTCACCGTTCGCCCGTGCTGGGGCTCTCTGTACTGGGAGGGCTTATCCCTTCTGGTCTTTGCTTGGCTGCCTCCTTCACACCCCAGATCTTGGCTGAAATAGCCTCTGGGGCCTTCTCTGATGCTCAAGTAGATGATTATCTCACCGAAGCCTCCTTCTTCCTTCACAGCACTCGTCAACCCTTTAAAACTCTTTATATGTGATTTTTTTTACAAATATGTTCCTTTTTTTTTTTATGCCGTAAGGCTGTTTCTCCCATTGTATTAGCAGTTTTGTGTAGGTGGAATCGTGTGTGTCTCGTGGCCTGCTGTATGCCTGAGTGCCTGCTGTATGCCCAGGTGCCTGGCACATAGTAGGTGCTCATTAAAAATTTGCCGAGTAAAGGGACATTTGGTCCCATGAATTGAGTGTTATCATTGTTGTAATTATCATTAACAGCTACTGCTTTTCAGGCACTGACTATGTGCCAGGCACCGTGCTGATGTTTTATGTTTAGCATCTCATTCAATTCCCACAGTGATCCTGGGAGGGGGTGGATCGCGTTATCCCCATTCCTCAGAAGAGGAAACTGAGGTTCAGGTTTTTTTCTCAAAGCCACCCAACTAGTTAGTGTAGAGCTGGGATTTGAACTCAGGTTTTCCAGTGCCAAAGCTGTGATCCCTTCACTCTGCCGCTGAGTTCCTTTGCAGAGGAGGAGTCCTCTACTGCCGGGACTTAGGTTTGACATTCACTGAGGCATGTGAGTCCTATGGAGATGAAGGGGTGGGCTTGCCAGGTGGGAAGACCCTTTAGGCATCAGCTAGGCAGAAAGGCCGAGGGGGAGGTGGGAGGAAGGATCCTGCTCCACATAGCTGGGTGGGCTGCATGAGCTGGCCGAGGGGTGGACTGTGGTTGGCTTGACACCAGCTCTCTTAGCTCAG